GTGCTGTCTTCAGAAGGCAAAAAAATATCAAATACCAAAACACCAAAAAACAGGGAAGTTGAAGTTGAAGCTTAAGAAAAAGACTCTCATCTAGGCCTGATCTGTAGCTTGTTGATGAAGTGCACTTGCTGTGTGGACTTGGTAGCTAAGAGGGATGGATGATCTGTGGCCTTAGACTACAACCAGGAGGCTGCACTTCCTCTGATCCACTGGATTCAAAGAACCTTCCTCAAAAGTAAGGTGTACTTTTATGATCATCTATGCTGTTGCTGCTCCATGCAGTNGACTCTCATCTAGGCCTGATCTGTAGCTTGTTGATGAAGTGCACTTGCTGTGTGGACTTGGTAGCTAAGAGGGATGGATGATCTGTGGCCTTAGACTACAACCAGGAGGCTGCACTTCCTCTGATCCACTGGATTCAAAGAACCTTCCTCAAAAGTAAGGTGTACTTTTATGATCATCTATGCTGTTGCTGCTCCCTCACTGCATGGAGCAAAGTGAAAGTGCCTTCAGCAGTTGTATGACAGCGTGAGTGACATTTAGATTATTTGAGAGCCTTGGTTTGATCACCCTAGTTAGATTTAGGAAGTAGATTTCCTTTAATCTCTTAAAACTGATCCTATAGTTGCTAGCTCTTAATTTCTGTGAATCTTGTTCTTTTTATTTGTTTGGTTTAGCACTTTCTCAAGAGCGTTAGTTTAAACTTCCTTACGGACCTTACAAAACTGAATACACTCATAACCACGCCTCAGAACTGCTTACCTAGGGTTCACCTGGATATCCGATGAACACAAGTCATCAACATGTCCTTGCCTCAAAGAAGGGGAATGGTGTCCTTGGATGCATTAGACGAAGCATTTCCAGCAGGTGAAGAATAGTGATCCTTCCTCTCTACTTAGCACTGTTGAGTCCACGTCTGGAGTGTTGGCTCCAGTTCGGGGCTACCCAGTACAAGAGAGACATGGACATATTGAAGAGAGTCCAATGAAGGGCTAGGAAGATGATCAAATGCCTGGATCATCTCTTTTATGAGAAAAGGTTGAAAGAGCTGGGACTGTTAAGTCTGGGGAAGAGAAGGCTCAGAGGGATCTCATCTATGTGTATAAATAGCTGAGGGGAGGGTATAAAGGTGACAGAGCCAGTGATGCCTAGTGATGGGGCAAGAGGCAGTGGGCACAAACAGAAGCACAGGAGGTTTTGTTCCAACATCAGGAAACATTTTTTGACTCTGGGGGTGATCAAGTCAAGGACCTGATTGAATTTTTATCCTTCTTGACATCAACGTAAACAACTAGTTTTCTGTTCTACTGGCATGCCATGCCTTTACTTGTTGCCATGTTGGTCTTTGAAGTCAGTGTATTACTATGCCTGTGTCATCTTAAAAAAATTGCAGTATATTCTTACCTGGTACACATCTCAGGCAATTTAAATGCTTTTGCTTATTTTAGGCTTTAAGGAAAGAAGTCAGGCATTCAGCAGAACTTAGGTCAGTTTGGATGTCAGAACCCTGGAGAACACTTCCCCTTTGGAAAGGGGATCAGCATGCAGTAGCCATTTCACCATGCACTTGGTGCTGCCCAGTGACAGATCCCAGGTGAGGATGTACCTTGCCCATGAGGTGTGATGCTGGGGGGCAAGAGGGTACTCTGTTACTACAGTTTGGTATCCTCAGCAAAAATAAGTTAAGATGGAATGCAGATGTTAGCAAGTTATGGATCATGTGGATCATGTATGTTTCTGACCCATTCAACCCTCTTCATAGTTGGAGAGAAATAGCTTCTTTTGTGGCATGATGTGTCTGGTTGGTACAACTGCTTTAAAATAAGCAATACCTTTGTAAGAGCTGGATTGTATCCATTTCTATAAAATCGGTGACTAGCTGGATGTCATCACATAGTTATTTTCAAATAATTTCAGCTTGTGTGTGTCCTCCTGAACATTTATGCTTTTAAGAATTCTGATTGTGAAGATTTGTTACCCTCAAACCAACCAAACTGCAAACACTTGGGAATGTGGAGAGAGCAGCAAAGGCATGTCATATATGTCCCCCAAAAGCTAAAAAAAAAAAACAAAACAAAAAAAACTAACCAAAAAAACAGCCAATGAAATTATACATTTGTGGTTGTATTTTCAAATCTAATGGTTGGGTTAACTGAAGTAGAAAAGAGCTTGCTCACTTGTGGAAGCACCCCACATAGTAACCTGGCTGCGTTTGCAAATAAATCCCCCTTCTCTACATTGATGAGAAAGTTGTTTCAAAGCCCTGGGGCTCAGATGGTTAGAAGCATTCTGTAATTTTCAAAATAAATCTCTTCTCCAATTTCATACTTACTTGACTCTTTGGCAATATCCTTTTGCTGAGAGAGCCTTTTTCCTTCCTTGGTATTTATTTTGGCATATTTCAGAGGCAATATTGTTCACTTTTAGCCTTCATTTTGCCAAGAAAAATAAGCGAAGCTAGCTGTCTACTCATAAGCTAAACAACATAGGGGAAGGTAGTCCTTAACCATTTTTGCACCTGCTTTACTGGTCAAACATGAGCAGACCAAATGTTCTCCTTCCCTCTCCCAGAAAACTTCACTGCAGCCTTTGGGACCCTGCTGGATTATGAGTATCTTGGGCACCTCAGGTGACTGTGAATGAATGCTAGGGATTAGACAGTAGGGTACCTGTCTGATGATACTGCTCTTGAGACTGAGATAAGGAAGGGGTGTAGTGGCTGTGGTCATGTGAACAAATGGAGGAGCAGAATACACCCAGGAGCATTGACAATAAAAATTAAGAGTTAAAAAAATATTAAATATAGAGATGGGTTAAAAGTTTTTTAGGGTAAATGTTCTTGTGTCAGGAAAGATCTGTTTATTCAGATAACTTGAGTGTGGTTGCAAGTTTGTATAACTAAAAAAAGCTGACAAACTACTTTAAATATCAGTGTGTACCTCTGTTTGCTATGCAGCTAATTTTTCATCCTGTTTAAAAGAGTTTAGCATTTCCGTAAATTGAATATGCATGCAGTCTGGTGTTGCTGAATTTCCTGCTAATAAGAGAACCTAAAATGGGCGTGTGGGGGAGAGATGATGAGGAACAGACATTGAGTTGTTACACAGTTCTGCATCCTTGCGCTGGGGTGTGGAAGGTGTGTGTCGCAGTGCCTGCTGCTCCAGGAAACAGACCTTCTGGGGCGAATTCCTCCTTCTGTGGTAATGCCATCTTTCCTTTTATTAATGCAAATTAATCACTTGTACTAATCTCTTTTCAGATGTCTGCTGTTTCTAATTTACATGAGATCATGTAACCGTACACTTCCCAGTTATGCTTTCCAGTTACGTGCCACCTCAGTTAATTACTCAGGAGTTTGAGCAGTATTCTCATCAGTTCTTTGGACTAAGTCATAGGGAACTATTAACTTTGCAATTTTGTTAGCACTCAGTCATTTTGTTCAACTTTTTTTTTAATGCTTCCTTTTGTGTTTTAGTGACATATGGGAAACTGCTATACTGTGTTAATACTGTATATTTTTCCTGAGGAAAAATTTTAATTCTAATGTGCTTTTCATAATACAAAACAAGCAGATAAGATAATAAAAAACATTAAAAGTAGTTGAATAAATGTTTATTCTTTATAGTGAGATTTGTTTTCGTAAGTGTCTATTTCTTGAGGCAGGCCTTGAAACACAAGACCTTGTGTATTCTGGTCATCTGTTTGACTTTCTCCCATCCTCCTCCTGCACCCAGGATGCTCCTCAGGTTCCCTGGTGGGGATACTTGCTCCCCCCTCACCCTTCTGTCCTTATTTAAACTGCTTCTACTAAAGCTTGCTGTAGCTTGATATCTACATTAAGCACCATATGCTAACATCCTATCTTAAAAAAACCCCACCATGTCCATGCTACCACTGCTCTTGCACAAGTGTTGGTTTAGCAATCTAGTTTGTAATTTAGCTATTTCCTGCCCCCACACCCTGCCCAAGACAAAATTAAATGGAAAAAAAGTGTCCTTGGGCTAGTTCTCTGATCAAACACTTGCTCTGGGTGGTGGTGAGAGCAGAGTAAGCATGGCTTTGCCGACAACGGAACCACAGGGTTTTCTTCCTGTGGAATACTGACTGTACTGTTTCACACAGTTCAGCGTACAGCTTTCTCATCTGTTTGTATCTTGCTGAGGGAGGCTTTGTAGAGACTAGCAGAGCAGTGACTGTAGTTGGACATCTCAGTAGGCATCCCAATCTGATTTGCTCATCTCCTGAAACCCACTAAACGAACAAGTGGTTAAAGTGTGTTTTCCCCACCAAGTTTTGCTTGATTCCAAAGCATTTTCTTGTCTCACTTGTGACTTCAAATGTGCTGTGAATACTAAGATTCATTGTAGATTTCATTCTCGTGCAAAAAAATTAAATAGGAAATGCCTAAAGAATGAGGCATCGCTTTCTGTCTGTGTGTGGTGACCCCCAGCTGAGTGCCTGCTCTGCCACAGAGGGTACTGGCTTGCACACATTATTTAATTTCTGTGTCTTGGTTCCACAAAGCAATACGTGGCTGGTTTTGGAGTTACGCTGGGAAACCCTCAAGTCTGACTGCTCTGGAATAGCTGTATTGTACCCAAGCAACTTGTGTGCACATGCCTGTGGGGTGGGAGTGTTGTGGCTGCTGGGAACTCTGGAGCAAGGGGAAGTACAGGGCAAAATGCATGGGTTTCCGTTTTTTTGTGGTGGGTTTTGGGTGTTTTTTTGGTTTGTTTTGTTTTGCATAACTTTTCCTTATTTGTAAAAGTAGATGCTTGCCTCTGTGAGTAGCTTCTGTTTTGGCCACTTTATTTGAAAGTATTTTATCCATTCCTAAAAAGTTGATTTCTCTGGGTAAATGTCCATGTTTTGCAAGCAACTGTGAAATGCAGAGTTTGCATTTAGGACTATTTACCCTCTTAAAATTTATGGGAGAGAAAGGGTAACTCTGTAACAGATTTCAGCTCTTGGAATTGAATTATTGTATTTTTCTTCTCTAGGATCTCGAGTAGCAGGATGGAAGAACTCTAACTGGTAGAGAGACAGACAACAGGCCCTTTCAGCATGGAGACAACTCCGGTTGATGGGGAACTTGATAGAAATTCAGTGAGTAACTTAAATGTGCCTTTGCGTAATGAGATGAATGTGAAGATACTTTTGCGGGGAGAGGGTAAAATGGATTGACTCTGTTCAGTTTTGGTTTGAATTGATACTTTTCTGGTGAATGTATTTGGAATATCATGTAGTATCATGTACCATTTCCTAGATTCTCATGGCAAGAAGGCTGAATGTCAAAAATCATTTGGATTTTGGATTTGATTTTTTTTGATTTTATCTCAGAGTCCCAAAGAAAAAAGGTATTCTTCTCAGTCTGGCATTTTGCTAGTTAGTGACTATGAATAACAGAAAAAATAATGTATTTCTTCATGGAATGAGGAGCAGAAAAGGCAAGAGAAGTGATAATTATACGTTATCAGAGCAATCTGAGGTTAAGAGTTGATAATCTGTACTGATTATAAAATTTCTGAGTTAGCAAAACTCTTTCTAAGCACAGTTTAAAACCAGGAAAGGCTAGTGATTACTATCACACTTCATCATCATAATATTGAAATTATATAAGAATCTGGTTTTCCACAAGCTGTGTTATGTAGAAGCACTCTAATAGCTGAAGCAGGAAGTGTTTTTCAGTTTCCAGAATTATTTTGTGTTAGAAAGCACTGCCTCCCAAAGGCAAAAACAAGATATGTTTTCTGTAACTGTGGTGAAGGTCAAGTTTAACACTTCATTAGTGACAAACTTTATTTGTGACAGTCAGCTACTACATAGAGCTAATTATTTGTTCAAGTGTTTTATTACTGTTTTTATCTTAAGTGATGAATTTGTAGACAAACTATTTTGCAGTGCATTAAGAAAATCCTTGACTTTTTCCTGTAATAAACAAATTTATTATTTTGCTGCATGGACAACACATCTATATTCTAGTTGCAACTTACTCTGACTGTCAGATGGCACTCTTTTAAGAAAAGCCTGTCAGTTCAGTTGCTGTGCTCCTGGTTTCCCAAAATAAAAAAAAAGTACCAGCTTACAAAAAACTTCAAAGTAACATAAAATGTGCTAGTTTTCTTTTTGTGACATGCATTCAGAATAGCATGATCTTAAAAAGGTATCCTGAAATGAATCCCTGTATGTCTTACCAAGTCTCCTTCAAAAGAATGGTAATTGTAAGGATAGATTGCCTTTTGTCTTATGTGCTTATGCACCTAAAGTGTAACCTCAGAATATTTTTTTTTTAAACTGGTATACTGTTATAGGCTACTCTAAGCATTTCTTACCAAAATATCCCCTCATCTGTTTTAACAGCTGTTACAATGTCAAGTTTTTTGTTTTGTATGCAAGTGTTAAAAACGTTTTTGAAAGCTTATCTGGTAGTCTAATATTCTTGATCTGGTGTACAACATAGTAAAGCAAGTAAAAATTAAATACTAAAACCCTCATATACATTTTAAGAGAGGTTGACCAAGTAATTTTTAAGACCTTGAATCAGTGCAAATCCTGACTCTTCCCAGAAGTTTAAATTTTTTGAAATAATTTTTAAAAGTTTTCTGTATTCCAGACTTTGAACTGCAAGAGGTTGGTTAGGTTTGGTTTTTTTATTTTTTTTTTATGTTCCGTTTGTCTAATTCATTAAATACATGAGGCGCAACATGTGTGATGAATACTGATCAATATTTTTTCCCACCATTTTAACTCCTTTAGGATGTTTCTAGGAGATACCTGAAAAGCTCTTTTTAGAGGTGTCAGCTTTCTAATTTGTTTTTTGTTTGTGTGTAAAAACAAAACAAAATAAAACAAACAAAAAATGGAGGAGATTAGAGAACTTAATACTGTGATCTTTTTTCAGAATCAATATAGGGAGAAACAGAAATTATTTTCTAATGATTAGGTTTATACATACTGCATATAAATCTGAACACAAAGGCTGTTGCAGCTTAGCAAACTATTTTTGTAGTCTGGCGCCATTAAAACAATGCAAAATACTAGAACCTTTGGTTTGAGTTCTTGTTTGACAACAGTTTTTGCCTGTCTTTCTACAAAATAGTAATTTAATTTAAACAGGCCTCACCAGCTCAGAACTCAGACCATTACCTGGGAAGTTTGGTAAAAAACATTCTTTTTCAAAATTAATTTTTTACTAATTCTTAGTTGCCTCTAATTTTTACCAAAACATATATTTAATAAATAAATTACCTGTGATATAACGTAGACAGTCAGTCCCTGCTATTTAAATACATCAATAGACATAGAAGTACCTTTTATCCTTGAAGTTTAGAATAGAGGTCATCTTTACTGATCAGATTTGCAGGTTAGGTTAGTAGTCCTGAACTTAAATTTAACTGGAATAATACTGAAGATTTACACATATTCAGTGACTACCTTCAGGAAAAGTCTGTCTTCAGCAGGGTGAAAACTCTAACTTGGCTTTAGAATGGGCATTTCAACTCAATAAAAAATGTAGCTGTAGGTTTTGATTGTAAAACTAGTAAGAATATTTTAAAAACTTATCTTTTGTAGTATGACACTCAGACATGTTAGTATGACATATGCTTTTTCTTTTACCCTAATATTCAACAGGAAAAGGATTTTGGTTTTTTAGGACAACTTGGCAGATATAACTTAAAAGTTTAGTAGCAGTTGTTATTAGTTTTATTTCTGAGAAATGAATGTCTAAAAATAGTGCTTTTCTGAAGCACATGAGCTGCCTTTGTATAAAACCAGAATTATGGTTGCTGTCTGATGGGATGCTTTATATTGCTGGCTTTATTCCGGATTCTTACTTAAAAATTTTACTGTGAGGAGGACTAGGTTTTGCATGTTTTGATAGCAACATTTTAAGGAAATTGTGCCTCAGTAGAAGCTAAATTAAAAATGTAGTGTTGAGAACCCGCCTTGTGAAAGGACTTGTTCTGTAATCTGTAATAATCAAAGTCATCAATTATGTAATGTGAAAATAAGGGTAGGCTGTGTCTCTGGAAATATGCATATGTTTCTCTTAATTTTGTATATTTAGAATAAGAGTTGTGGGAGGTGATGGACAGGAATGTCCTGAGAACATGCTTTTCAGAGCAAACACTGAAGTAGTAAAACTGTTATGTTTTATTCCTTTGGTGGTTTGGATCCCAAATCTGCAGAGATATGAATTGCAGATGATAGAGGTGCAGTAGGCCACCAGAAAATGAAGAGGTTTTTTTGCCCAAAATAGTCTCATTTCAGTACCTTAACATCTTGCATCAGTGTTTAGAAATACATCTTCTGCATATTTTAGGTAAATATGTAGGCCCAAACCTCCTCATGAAGAGAGGAGGTTGACCAGCAACGGAGGTAGTTTGGTGTGTAAACAGAATGTCTATTGGAGAAGATCAGGGACAGAGTTAGACAGGCTTGTGTTTCAGCCTCTGGCGTAGGAGCTGTTTGTACCAGTTCATAGGATTAACCATGCAATGCTAAAATATTTACATGAAAAGCCCCTGCACCATCGTCTTCGGTGACAGGTTGCCCTGCTCTGTGGTGTCATGTTGTATCTTGGTCAGGGCTGCTTGAGAGGCAGGCAGTGAGACCCAATCTGCTGCGGTGCTTTTTCACTCTCATTTCTTCAATATGTAAGTACTCGCCGCGAGTGAACATTCTGTCTCAGTCTCTGATACTTCTGATCCTATATGTCTGTTTCCAGATTCTGTGCTCTTGCTTTCCAATTGTGAAATAAAGCAGACCAGCGTTGAATAGCGGTGTTCCCCGTCCTTCAGTCAGTTGCTGGATCTCTATACAGTTACTGCAGGCTTCTTGCTCTCTTGTCAGTCACTATTCTCTTGAATCTAAAATCAGCATAGGGTAGTACAGTTCCAGTCCAAACATAAATTGTTTCCTAATCTGCTGTTATATTATCTGTACGTTAAAAGAAATACTTTGCCTTGAAAGCCATTCAGTTCTTGAATACTTTTCATGTACTAGTACTGAAACCTGCCTGGTAGGTTCATGGGTTCCATGAGCAGCATTTCACTCTGATGTAAATTTAGTCTCTGAGAGGAATTGAAGGTTATTTACCAAGTTTACTTATATTTTATTTCAACCTTCACTGTTTAATCAAATCTTGTTAAAGAAACTGCAGAATTATGAAAGGTTCCCTCACATTTCTGATGACGTGTGTTGCAGTTGCTGTATTCTCACTGCAATACTTTACCTTTGCACATTGCACTAAAAATTTAACACCCCTAGACAGATGTGAGGGTTAACAAAAAGAAATACATTAAAAAAAAATCTGTTTTGAGATCAGGAGTGCAAGCCAAGGCACTTACTTGCAAAGATTTTGATTTTGATTTTTCTTTTTTGTGTTTCCTGCGTTTAGTCCTGATAAGAGAGGCAAGGCTGGATCCTCTTTGAAGCAGGGCAGGAATTTCTCTTCTGTATGGAACATAAGTTATTTTCTTGGGGATATAGATGATACATCATGTTTGGATTAATTTTTAAGGAGGAAATGTTCATGCTGATCAGTATACTTGTTTTCTCCTTTTCACAGATTTCAAATCTAGAAAATCCTTTAAGACATAGGTGAAATTTACCTTACATCTGTACACGGCTGAGCACAGTGGGATCTTAACCTTGATTTTGGTCTTGGTTAGCAAGGATTTAAAAAAAGATTTCAGATATCAAAAAGGAGTACAGGCAGTTACTATGTAGTTACCCTGCACTAGTGCCTATATTTGATGCATTCACTGGAACAGAAATAATTTTTTATACATGATTCTTTGAAAGTATTTTAATGTAAAATAACCTCTTAAATTTAAAACTGCACTGCTTGTCTTGCATCCTAAGCAATTTAAAATATTATCTGTGTTTGTAGATAAGCTTAATCTGTGGCTTCTAAGTTTATGTCTGTGTGCAAAAACAGTTAGGTTTGGATCAAGCATTAGCGGGTGCTTGCATGTTTCTGATGGTGTTAAAGGATTTTTCTTTCCAAAACGCTTGTCTGAAAGTGGAATTGTTTTGGAAACAAATTTTGTGTTATTTCAGCTTTCTTCAGAGCCTCAGTCTTTTGAAGACATTCCAACTTAAAATTTCTTAAAAAAATTTTGTGTATCAAGTCGTATGAGCACTAAGTTACTGGTGGAAAAGTTCCACTCGCAATAAGCAGTTGAGGTAGTTGCTGTTTACTAATGAGAGCTTCTAATAATGGCTTTTCTGTAAGCATATTTGTCAGTTTTGTTGCTTCAACTTTTCTGAACTGCTAAGTCTTTTGAGATCTTGCCTTTGGCATTGAGGTGCATGTTGTATTTTAGTTATGAACTAACACTGTTTTCGTTGTCCTTCTTCTTTCCCGCTGCTGCTGCTGCTTTTGTGCACTTGCTTCTTCCTGGCCTGGATTTTTATGTTTGCTGTTCTTCGTTCTTCAATTGTATATGTACACAGCAACATGGTGAGAACAGAGATTCTCATGGACCATCAAGTAAGTAACTGCTCTCTCCTATAGTATGTTTGCACATATGTTCATAATAGCATATATTTTGCATAGGGGCTGCTGGGCTAAATCCTAGGTTTTCTTCTGTATCATAATTGGGAATTTGAAGTATGATGAAAATTTGCTGTTGGAAAAGTATTTTGCCTGGCATACCACTCATCTGAATTTTTCCATACTTTAATTTTTTTTTTTTTTTTTGTTAGTGGGAAAAGTTTATTCTTCACCTCTCCTAGTCATGGCTGAAAAAATATATCTTTTATATTACTTATCTGGAAGAGAAGCTATTTTTGTGTTTGAAATGAAACCTTTAAATGGTACTGTAGTATAGATAGTAAAGATATGGAAATAATGGTTCAGAAAGGCTTTTATTTTTGAACTTGTCTGTTTATAGTGCTATACGGTTCACTTAATTTCAACCGTTTTATATATTCAGAACTGAACAGGTGTGTATACTGTAATACTCCAGGATTGGATCTGGTGAGGTGAAAGGGAAAACTTCAGACATGTGGGTATAGATATGCTTGCATGCAGCCAATGACTTATTGGTGCCATTGGTTCATGGGCATGATGAAAGTATGATTGGCAGAATAATTTTGCCTGGGATTAAGAGTTTGCATGTGTGGGGAAAGAAGAGGTGCAGGTATAAACTGATTCTTCTTGATAAGAAATCTGTGCAGAAGCTATGGTCTTAGCTGATATGGCTTTCTATAGACATGAAGAAAACAATGTCGAATTGAATCATAATAAACCTTTTCCTATATCTCATGTTATTGCACTATTCTCAGGGGTATAGGCACTTTGATATGCTCCTTATAGAAACAGAAGAACTCCGAATCTGACACTTCAGATTTTTTCTTTCATAGTCTTACCTGAAATAAATTGACTGTCAATACCCTGATTTGTATTTCTACAATGCATGAATTGTACTGAAAAATTGCGTATTAGTAATCTAATGACCAGTATGATGAAAATGAACAAAGAATGTATTCTCAGCTCTAACAGTTCTGTTGGTATTGAAATGTGCCCTCTAAAGAGTCATGAGGAGGCTTTGGCATTTATTAATTAATGTTTCTTCTCTTAAATTATCCTCTGCTTGTCTTCAAGAAGATAGATGGTATGAGTTTTAACTCACTCAGTTGAAGGAAGGTATGAAGAGAGGTTGTCTTTCTCTTGGAGGGATGCTCTGAAGCCTGAGTGAAAGTCTAAAAATAAATCACCACTTTGATGCCTTTGAGTGGTTGGCAATGCCATTGTATGTTTTCTCAGACACATTGAGCATATGCACATTAAATCTGTTTTTCAAGTGACAGAAATGACATGTGAAACCTAAGGAGAATTAGAATAATAGAATGGAAGGAACCTTAAAGATCATCTAGACCCACCCCCTTGCTGTAAGGAGGAACATATTCTATTAGCTCAGGTTGCTCTGAGCCCCATCCAGCCTGACCTTGAACACTTCCAGGGATGAAGCGTCCACTACATCTCAGTGCCCCATCACCCTCACAGTAAAGAATTTTTTCCTAATATCTAATCTAAACCTGCCCTCTTTGAGTTTAAAACCATTTTCCCTTGTCTTGTCACTACAGACCATGGTAAAAAGTCTTTGTCTTTCTTTCATGTAATTAAAGATTGCAATAAGGTCTCCCCGGAGCCTTCTCTTCTCCAGGCTGATCAACCCCAACTCTCTTACTTTTCTTTATAGGATGTGTTTTCTTCCCCTGATAATTTCAGTAGATGATGCCTTCCCCAGGAACATTTAAAAAAAACCCATAAAACTCCTATTTTGGTTGTTCTCACCTAAATTCATTGGAAAGTGTAAGTGCTTTGAAGATTAGTCAGAAACTGAGTGTGGGTTTTGAGACTTACAGGTTTTGATTAGTTTGCCAAGATTTCACTGCAAAGCTATTTCCTGGTCTGATTGAATTGTGGCTATCACAAAAGTGGCAAAGAAAGAAATATTTCAGGAGTAGCCTAATGCTGTATCTGTATTCAGCAGCTGCCTTTTCGCCACCTCCTAGTTTTGTTTCCATCTTCTGCCTTATGTCTTAGACCAACCAGTCTTATTACCTTCTTTCAGCCATCTTCTCCAAAGCAAATTTCAGGCTTGAAAACCTCATTTTCTAGAATGAAATGTTTTGCAAGACAGCAGTTGAATACCAGTTTCATAAATAGCAGTGAAGTTGTTAATAGAAATCTATGCACAAGCATGTAACATCATTGACGGAGAATCATTTTGTATTTCAGCAGTGGTAACAAGCAGCGATGAATCACAGCTTGCAACTCCAGGAAAAATGAACCAGCAACAGGGGAAAGAAGCCTATTTTACTCCAACCAAAGAGTTACTCCAACCGTGTCTGAGCCCAGGAACTGCCCATAGCCATGGTAAGACAAAGCTGTTTTTTACAGAGGTTTTCAAGAATTTAAATTCTGATATTAGTTATCTGTTCCAAAAATCAGTGCAAAACCAATGCCTTTTACAATAAAGAGGTAAGAAAAAAAGCATATTGAAATGTGTGTAATTATTGTTATTAAATGCATATTAATCTGAAAGAGGAAAAAATGCATTATGCGGGGCATTTAATTTATTAAATTTATTAAAGCATGCTGGAATTTGTGGGATGGGAGAGCAGTCCACATGATGGTAAATCATATTTGTATGTAACCAATGGTAACATCCTTTTCTCAGTACTTAAGTTGTGCCTTTACTGAAAACTTCAGGCTTTTAAAATTAATATTCTCTCCCCTTTTACTCTTGGCAGCCATGCTAGTCATATATGCTTCCTTTACTTCTTTCCATGAGTAGTGTTCCTGAAACGGCTTTCTATTTTTTACTTTTTTTTGATATGAACCTCCCTAACTCCCATAGCTTGCTTTGTCAAAGTAGTATTAGTGTATTAGAGTAATAAAGGCAGTGTCTCAGGTAACTAAATCATTTTCCTGTTTTCCTATTCAGTACTATTTAGATAAGAAAAAACCTTTTAAATAAAAAGTAGTTTGTTACCATGCTGAAAGTGGTTATCTTTTAGCGTATTTTAAGAGTTATTATGGTAGTATTTTCAGTATTACATGTAGCTAGCTCTGATGTATTTTCTAATAGCTGCTGTTATCTCACTGGAACAGCTCTTGATGTCCTCTGGCTTGTGTTATGCTTAATCTGGAAATATTTTCTGTGTAATATACAGAATATATCTTGTTTGTAACTTTTATTATTTTTAAAGAGTTTTTTTGTTATTCTCTCTACTTGCTGTGTTGTATCCCTAATTAGACAAATGTTGTAGTTGTATGTGTATTTGAATATTCTATTAAATTCTTCCTTTTAGTGTTGCTATTTCCACTAATCTATAAAGTCAAACTGTTGTGGTTTTTTCAGGGCTTTCACTCATAGGAATATCATTTAAAAGGGCTTTAAATGCCCTAAGACTTGGTGGTGCTACATCAAAATCTTCTCAGAGATTGTTTTCTCTCCTGACTTTTTTTTTCCCCTCTGATTATTTCAGGGCTTATATAAGTATTGATGTTAAATGTATTTGTGCCTTTTTTAGCATCAGTCATCGCTGCCTTAGTCTTCCAGGAGTACTACTAGAAATAAAGCTGTAGTTTCATGAAACAAGAAATTTGGCTTGCATTCAATTTGAGTAGTGAAAAGGCAGGATGTGGACTAGGCTTCAGCAACCCATAGTTAGTAACTTGTAGCCTACCTGTAACTCAGGAGGTGTGCCTTTGGTTTTTATGGAGGTGGATGACCCATATTTAAAAATTGGCTGAATATTCTATAGTAGTTATTGCTATGGCAAAATTACAGTACTAGAGAAAATGTGAGCTTATTACATATGGGGAAAAGAGATGCTGTGGAAGCCTGAAAAATATGAAGTAAAACAGAGTTTAAAGTGATGAAGTATTTGAGGTTAACTGTTGTAATTGAAATCCAGTTAACGAAGGTATTTACAATAAGCCTGTATGATGAGATAGGAGATGTTTAAATACAGAATTTAAAGGCGTTCACTGTGAAGTAAACGGAAAATACTTGAATTCCTCCTTAGGAGATAGGTAATGTAAATATTCAAAATCATGCCGGGATTAGGATAAAGAGAATCAAAACGGAAAAATGTATGGTACAGTCTACAAAGAACTGATTACATGTATATAAAGGAGAGCTGGGACATGGGTACTTAGCTTCTGGTGCTGGACAGTTGGACGTTGTTGAATGCTATTTGGCTGCTGTTACCCTGGGTTGTGCTTCCTGCTGCAAGAATAAAAGTGCCGGTGTGTGTTGCAAGGCCAGTTTTGTATAGAGCTTGTAGCTCAAAACCAAGTGAGTTGGAATGAAACAAAACCTGTCAAGAGGCAATCTCTGCAGCATCCAGCACTAACTTTGGTGTTAGCAGAGAAACATCACCGTGCATGCTGATTCTTTGGCTGGCCAGCAGCTGTCCAGGGAGAGTCATGCTCAGTGACCATCTCATGGAAAATCTACTTGAATAAGCCTCATTTGTGTCTTCTGCTTGTATTTTAAGTAAGATCCTTATGACAAATATTAAAAATATACTTAAAACTAGATGAGTTTTAATATGAGGGAGTGGAGGTCAACATTTAATTTCAATTTGGGCCATTGACTTTCTATTTGGAACAAGAAGAACCATGTAATTTGCCAATGTAAAGTTGTAAGTGGTATATATTTTATCATTTTAGGTGCTCCCGTGTATAAATACTGTGTGACCACAGTTCTGGATTTCAGAAAGCTTCTATTTTCCTGTACTTATTTCCTTAGCTTAAGACATGTGTTCCTCTTTCCTCACTCCTGTCACCTTGTGAGATGAAACTTAGTATGTTGTCTGAGCGAGAGATGAGGAATTTTCTTTTAGGAGTCCAGTGCAGATTTTTTTTACAAAGGTAGAGTACAGTTTGATCTGGCAGCATTGTCTAGTGACTGTTCAGCAAAAGTCTATTTACACTATTACTCTTCTGTATAATCTTTGTCCTTCGTTCCGAGGCTGAAGTAGCTTACCTTTGAGGCTACTGACTGGCATGTGTAGGTGTGGAGGTCAGACTCGCTTCCATAGAAAGGTTTAGCAAGTTTTTTTGATGGAAATATATTAAAAAAACTCTTATGGTAGGGATTTTTCTTGTGCGATCTTAACGTGTTTATGTAGAAAGTTCAGAATTTTAGTAGTGGAACACTAACTCAGCCGTATAAAGCACTGAGCCCGAGATGGACTTTTAATTCTTGTGGATTAATTTATTTCTGCCTTGCCCATCAAGTAGTTAACTAGAGTGTCAGAATAACCTAGTCCTGATTATAATGCTGCAATTAATGTCTTGAACATATTAAATGATCATAGTATGTTTTTTGGTAAATATTTTATTTAGAATTGTCAGACTTGGACCTAAATAATTCAATAACCTTTCAATGGAAACTTTAATGAGCTTGAAAAGTTAGCTGTATCTGTAAAGCTTTGCTTATGTTTGTGGGGTGGTGTGTTTTTAGGCCCTAGTGAGCAGCATAGCCTTGCCAACTCAGTAAAGACCATCTTTTTTTAACTGTAGCACATGTAGATGTTAGTGCTACTAAACCATCTTCCAGTTCTAGTAGCTGACACACAGACTGTATAATGCCAATTTAGCTCATTTTCTGTGTTTGCATTCTGTGGTTGAAAATGTCGTAAACTATTAATGGACAAACAACTAAATTTTTATCAAGCTTGGTTTTAGAATTTTTCCTTTTTTAACCTGCTGTGTGACCAAAAGGAATAATTGAAAAAATTATTTTATTGCAGTTAAAAAATTAACATGAAAAATATCAAGTACAAGACTACATTTTCAAAAGTTGTAAAGCAGAACTGTGCTTGCTGATATAATCAACAAGTGAAATTATCCCTGGTGAACTGGATACTTGTAAATATTTTTAATTCAGACATACTGATTTATTGCTTTGATAAAATGGTTTAATATAGAAATAGCAATTACTTAAAATTTATGTAAAAAATAAGAAATCTCCTCAAATATGGTTTTTAATATTTTTAACTAATGTGTTCCTGAAACATATTGCAAACTTTTTATGAAGACAGCATAGATGCTTAAATAGCAAGAAGCTCTATTGGTAATAAAGAGAAAAATCTAGTTAAGATAGTAGTATTGCAGGGATGCTTGAAAATGTCAGACTTTTCTATATTTTTCCTGTCTTGTGTCTTATTCAAAATACTGAGATGCGGATGGGGTGAAAATGTGTGTCGTATCTGGGTAAAGCATTATGAAGAATGTAAATCTTTCAGCTAAATTAACAACCTCTTGCTATTGGGCTTGGGTTTTGGTGGTTTGGGGGTTGATTTTTTTTTTTAATAACTTTTCTAATCAAGTCGTCAAATAAGGGTAAGCAGTGTGTGTGTAAGGAAGTGTGTGCCCAGAAGGAGCATGACTTGAGCTGAGAAACAGCCCTCTTTTCCAGTAGAGGAGTAGTAGTTGTTAATTCAATTTGCAATATGATAAAAACATATTCTGTGTTCCGTGAGTGAAAAATGAAGTTGCTTAGGTGTAGGGAGGTGGGTTGACAGCGGAAACAGAATTAGAGGTCAGCCAGTGGTGATGATCACCATGAATTGGAAGAAGGAGGTAAAGCTGATTTTTGGGGAAGAGTGAGGGCATGCATGGCTCTGCTGATCTTGTACTTTAAACAGCTCCAGAGTAAACATTTGAAGGATGTGCTAGTCCTATGATTTTAATCCACAGGATACTGCATTTTGGGAGAAAATACAAATTTAACTATTTTTGTATGTGAGAGAAGGCAGAAAGTGAAGAATAGGTGTTTTCAAGCAGTAGGTCTTAAAGAACACTTACTGACTGTTGAAGGGATGAGAGAGATACCGTAATGACCAGGAAAATACAAAACTCAGATGTTACTGACTGTCTGCCCGAGGCAGCAAACAAGTTAAAGCTGTTTTGTTGTTGACCTGTGCAACTTGCAGTTTTTAAAAAACATGTTTGTTTTGGTTGTTTGGCTCAGTTGATAGCAGCAGCACATTTTGTTTCACTGGGCAGTAAGAAATGTCTGGAGCTTCTGACCCATCATGCCTGTTCTTGGGTCCCTGGTGGTCAGTGTGCAAGAAGACCTTGAGGTGTAGCACACACCTCTCTCAACCACTTAATCAGCTGTGAGTGGAAAACAGGTTGCTGTGGACCAGTGGAGGGAAAGATACAGCCCCATGTCAGTGAACTTGGAACCCTTTTCAAAGTATTAGCAACTCTACCTGAGATGGGCACTTGGCTTTGGTGATCTGGGCACATTTCTTCCAAGAGGTCATATGAACCTGTTCTTTCATGTGGATGCATGAGACCAGCACCACAGCAGAAAGGAACTGCCTTGGGGCTAGAGAGAGAAATCCTGCTGT